GCTAACTGACTGATTATTATTGCAAAGTTTGAAAACTAACAGTAAATCTGCCATCCTGTTCTATCAATCCCCTTTCTTTATCAGAACAATTCATCTGCTGCTCTTCTTTGGAAGAACCTAGAGTACGCCTAATTGTCTATGCAGCAACAAATCAAAAATTTTAAAAAGTCAAAAAACCTTGAGCAGATTCACAGCGATCTATTTCATTGAATCTCGATAAAACATTTTTTTGCGATTCAGACTCTGGATGAAGAGAACTTGGAGAGCCAGAAATTTTAAAACCAAAAAACTGGTCCCGAGTCCCAAAATTCCTAAATTAATACATCTTTTCATTGTTTTTAAAAACAAATTACATTCATTACAGAAAATTTACAGAAAACTACAACAGCTGAAAGGATAATAAAGAAAAGTTTCATCTCAAAGAATTTAAGTAACAGACCCTGCTTCGGGACAAATATTACAGTTTTCAGCACCCAAACCATGAAACTCATAAATTTTAATATGTGACTGCTCGATTGGGGGTAGTAAGTCTCTGTGATTTTTCTGTTTAGCTTCAACTAAAATAGAAACAAGTTCTTCCTTGTCGTATTTACTAGGAGTATCCATACCAACATCCCTAAAACGAAGGTGGAATGAAAATGAATGACAGAGATAGAAAAAGAGACCTAAGGCGTAAATATAGTCAAAAGTTAGAATTCCACGCTGCCACAGTATAAGAAAATTCTTTGCTAAGATATAACTTAGAGTTCGACAACAAGTTTTTAAATTTGTTTGGAATATCGCTCACTTATCTGCACAATTCAAATTCTCTTCCACAACTGTCTTAAGCACAGAAACACTACTCGACGAAGTATTCGCTGCACAAAATAAATTTTTTCCAACCTCTCTGACTGAGTCGGATTTCCCTTTTTTAATTGAGTCGGCCAAGTTTTCATCCTATAACTATTTTGAATTTGGAGTGAAGATCCAGATGAAATTTCTTAAAATGATTCCCCTTGTTTATTAGGAAAGCGAGGTGGTGAAGAACATTTATAAACATCTAAAGGAATAAAAATAAGCAACACTTACATTAATTTCACACGACTTAACCGACGCATCTGTTAAATCTGCAATTACAAGAAAAATTGATGACAAGAACTATAAAAAGTGTCAAAGCTAAACAACTCACCATAACTTTCAGGAAAGAAACACAGACTTGGTATCAACCCACAAGTTTTCTGCAATCAAACTATAAAAAGAACGACACAATACATCTCTTGACAAGATGTTACAAAAACCTTCTAACAAAAATAAATCAATAATATTTAAACTATTACTTTTTCCTTAAAACCACATCTCAAAGAAACTTGACATTTCAAGTCTCCAAATTTCAGACAATCACCCTCCTTCACTTGGTACTGTATAAAGCGTTCTGTCAAGATAACCTAAATTACTGCGAAATGTCAGCAAGTATTACGAAAAACATCAATACAATCGTATATCAATACAAGCAGCAACTTGACAAAACATTTCTCATTACCAAACCTACAAAAATGAAATAGTCTTACACGAAAAGCTCTTCACAACTATTTCAGAAATAAAAATATGAAACCAGTTCATTCTGCTGGATCATAAACCATACACACTAATACCCTTTAGCATTTTTTTTGGCAAATATGAATGACAGGAATTATTACCAGCCATCGTAAGCGTTTCAAGTACTTCCAGCATATAATTAAGCAAAAACAAAAATCAAAGTCTAAAGTTTCTGGCAAAAAGATGTTACTAAGAAAAATAGTGATCTATAAAAAAAACTAAATGCAACTCACCCCATTCACCATTGTCCCATTAGTTGAACCTAAATCAGCAATGAGAAACGTCTCACCGGAAATGGTTAAACGAGCGTGAAGGGCAGATACGGTCTGTAACTAACAGATAAAAGGAAATAAAAAGAGCTTAACGATACAAAGAAAAAATAAAGAGCAAACGGAAGGACGGTAAAGAGGGTAAATCTATAACTGCATTAAGATAGAGCCAAACAAGGAATGTTTCACTGCGAAAGGAATCGCTTTTTCAAAGGATGTTTATCACTCCCGTACTTTTTGGAGCACTTAGCGCAGTATTCCACACGAAAAGATTTCATGACTTTCATAAATACTATAAGAAATCAAGTGGAAATAACGCCAAAGAATAATGGGGAAAAAGGAAAGAAAGTATGACGTATTTTGCAGTATTCTGAAATGGCTACTGGTATAATCAGTTTTACAAAATACCGAATATTTTTCAACGTTCTCAGAACGTCAAAAACTATTGTTAAAAAAATATTTTAAAAGGTAAATATTACTCTTACGATAATCACACAGAATAAATTTATTACCACCACATCCTAACAGGGAATACCAGAAACACTTTGTCGCCCATAACGCGTAATCTTTACACAATGCACCCAACCACACTTTATCTGACTTTCGTGATTTACACTATTTACACGACCTATATAAAAATACTTTTTTTTTTTTCAAATTTCTAGCCACCTCAATTTATGCAATAAATACTTCACCTACTTTACTTTAAACTCGTACTCCAACAGCAGCTTCTTTGACAAACCTTTTCATCTTGCAGTTGTGGCTCTAGACATATTTCAACATCAATCCCTACTCACACATGACTTTCCGTCATGTAACATGCTGCTTCTTGACAACTCCCAGTCAGTTCAAAATTATCCGCACAATTATAACAAAATATGACGTGCAAAAAAGCTACTTCTTCGAAATTTTCTAAAGATAACCACTTGAATGATTCCACTATATACAGATAAGGTTCTTATGTTGCGCTGCAAAAATTATTTGGGCACTTTAAAAAAAGGAAAAGCCAAATTTTAAAAAGAGAACGGTCAAAAGATACAAAAGACGTGATAGAATGACTTTTTAAACTACCGTTTTTCACATCCTTTTCGGCAGTGAACAATTAAAACATGGTGCATTACTTGACCTATTGGACCCTATTCCACAAAAACCCTCTCATTTTTTTAACATCGATTCCAAGCAAAGAATTACTACCCCAACTGGGACTCAAAACCACTACTTACATAGTGTCTTCTGAATAACTCTGTCATCTCACTAAGCTGCCAAAACCCTTTCTTGTCAATGCAAATTAGACCATGAATGGAATCACCGAGCGGCTTTTGCAAAAAATGGAAATTTCGAAAGTACAAAATCTTTAAATTTTAAAAAATAGCAAAAACCATATACCAATCTAGAGTAATTTAATGAGGGGTCTCTGAGGCGTCTAATAAAGAGTCTAATAAACTATGGGAACAGCAAAATATATAAGAAAAAGAGAGAACAAACCGGATGGGGAATAATTACGTGTCGACCAACTCCACTGCTGCTAACACGACCAATAGTCGTTTCTCCGGAATATAATTCCACTACTTTAAACTCTCCCTCTTCCTCCTCTTGATACTTCAAGCAGCCCACCTGCAAATCAACTTAATAGATAGTAAAAAGTCAACAAGAATTCAATCTAATTTATAGAAAGGCGAAAATTTTCTGTTTTTGAAAATCCCCTCGCCCACATTAAAAAAGAAGTCGAACCACATAAAAGATGAGACAAAGACACGTGACAAAGCTGATTTTTTTTTTTACCGCACTTCTATA